TCACCTCGGGGACCCAGAGCACCCTGCAAAAGAAGAGGACTCAGCACCCCGGCACTTGCTCCCTGCAACGGGCCCCCGGGTTCTCCCCTGGGAGCACGTTAGGAGCTTCCCCCCCCCGCCCCGTCCCCATCCCTCCCCAGCACTCACCGGTGAGCCTTTGGAGCCCTTCTGGCCCAAGGGTCCCTGCGGAGAAGAGAAGAGAGGAGAGGAGAGGGGCACTGACCGGGCACGTGGTGATCCCATGGCAGCTGCCCCCCCAAAAACCTCCCTGGGGCTCAGGCTCCCCTCTTGCCCCTCTCACCCTCCTGGGGATGAAGCCCCCAGGGGTCTGCGGGGGAGCTAAGGGCAGGCAGGAGACCCTTGGTGAACCCACACAGCGCAGGCAGATACTCACCGAGAGCCCGGGGGGGCCGGGGGGCCCGGTGGGGCCGGTGGGTCCAGCCAGACCCTGTGGGGAGAGACAGCATCAGCCCCGTGCTGGAGGGGCGCACCCAGCCCCTGAGCTCAGGGGGGGACACCAAATACTTACAGGATCTCCTTTGGGTCCTGGGGGGCCCTGGATACCCGGGAGCCCCTGGTCTCCTTTCTCCCCCATCTCTCCTGGCGGTCCAATGAGCCCAATCAGTCCAGCGTGGCCCTGGGGGCGAAGGGCAGCGTCAGGCAGCCCCCTCCCCAGGACCAGGGGGGTTTGGGGACGAGGCCGGGGTGAAGGGACCCCTGCACGACCGTCACCTCGTCTCACCTTATCTCCCTTGTGGCCGGGGTCTCCCTTGAGGCCCGGCAAACCCACAGGACCCTGTAAGAGGCCAAGAGGGTGTCACGCACCCCGGACCGTGCCCAGCTCGGATCACCCGTGCCCAGGGCTCGCTCACCCTGACTTACCAGGGGGCCGGGTGGTCCCGCTTGTCCCGGAGCCCCCAACAAGCCTTGTTCACCCTGGAAGAGACTTGGGTGTGGGAGAGGGGCCCGAGGGCTGAGCCCCTCCAAAACCCCCCTCCAAGCTGCAACCCCTCAAGGGCTGCCCGAAGGGACATCCCCCAGCCCCAGCTTTGGGGGGACAGCCCTGCATTGGCGTGGGAATGTCCTCCCCGCAGCCCCCAACTCACGGCAGGGCCGGGGATCCCACGCAGTCCTTCAGAGCCTGGCCGTCCTGGTGGCCCCTGTGGCCCCACAGGGCCCATCTTCCCGGGTGGTCCCTCTGTGCCAGGCTGTCCCTGGGGACAGGAGGACAGGCAGAGCTGAGGCTGGCACCCCTCGGAACCCTGGACTGGGGGGGGGGGGGGGTGTCTGGTCCTGCCCCAGGCTGGTGGAGGCTTCTGGAGGGGAGTGGGTTTGGGGAGCCCTGGGGCATACCGGCCACCGCTCACCTTGGCACCCTTCTCGCCCTGCCGGCCCTCGCGCCCCATCGGTCCCACGGGTCCCTGGATGAGGGGACAGAGACACCAGGAGCTGCGCGCTGGCCCGGGCCAGCTCTGCTCACAGTCCCTCCTCACCCCACCGCTGTCCCTCCCCATCTCACCCCTCGCCCTTCCCCTACTCACCCTCCGTCCGGGGGGACCTGGGGGACCCGGCTCCCCTGATGCGCCTGGTGGACCCTGAAATGAACCCAGTGGGAGTTTGGGGTGAGGGGAGAGTCCCACAGCTGGAACTGGGGGAAGCGCAGAGGGCAAGGGATGCGCAAGAGCCCCGGGACGCAGCATGGCTCAGCTAGAGCCCCTCGAGCCCCCCAGTCCAGGGTGGTCCCACTGGGAATGTGACCCCCCCCTCCTTGTGCAGCTGTGATACCCCCAGCTGTCCCACTCACCGGCAGACCGGGGTCCCCACTGTCACCCTTCTCTCCAGCAGCTCCATCCAGACCCTGCGACACAGGGGAGGGTTAGCACTCACCTAGCCGAGCCCCCCCAGCCCATCCCCGGGGCTGTCGGGACACCGGGAAGCACCAGCGAGGCGGAGCAGGGAACTGGGGCGTCCTGGCACCTCCCAACCCCATCACCACCCCAGGGTGATGGCAGCGAGGCAGTGGGTGACACCGGAATGCCACGGGGGATGTGGGGGTTGGCTCCAGCCCTGGGGAAACCCCAGGAGTGGGGCTGCTCCTGCTCTGCGGCCCCTCGAAGGGGTGAGCAGGGGCTACTCACCGGCACGCCGGGGTCTCCGGGGGGTCCGGGATCACCGGGGAAGCCGATGGGACCCTGCAGAGAGAAGGGGACACGAGCGTGGGACTGGGAGGGAGCCCCAGAACAGGGCTATCGGAGCAGGGGGATGCAGGGGCTCAGGGGCAGCATCCCCCCTGCTCTTCCACGCTCACTCCTCCCCTTACCAGGTTGCCTTTGGCTCCGTCCTCTCCTGGTGGGCCCTTCTTGCCAGGGGGTCCAGCTGCTCCCGACTGCCCCGCGTCTCCCTTCTCCCCCACATCTCCCTTCACACCCTGCGGAGGGACGAGTAGGTGACGTTAGAGCAGGGGAAGGGGCAGCTGGGGCAGTAGAATGTTCACCGGGAGTTCTGCTTTCTGTGGCCAGTGAGAACAGGATCTGGCCCCCACTCTCTTTGTCTTGACCCCTAAAAAATACTCACGGGTGGTCCGGGCTCCCCCGGGGCTCCAGGATCTCCCGCTTCGCCCGGCTCACCCTGGGTGGGAGAAAAGCAACGGGGCAGATGCTGCCGGGTGCTGGGTGCTGCTAGCAGCTCTGCCCAGCCCCAGCACCCCAACTGAGACCCCCGCCACCCTCACCCCCCCCCCCCAAACACAGGCTTACCTTTTCTCCCACGGCACCCGGCTGTCCCACGCCGCCTGGCATTCCCTGGGGGCCCTAAAGGCAAGAGGATGGGGGGTCCCCAAGTTGGGGGAAGCCCCTGCATCCAGCAGCCCCCACTGAGCCCCCCCAGGGCCATACTCACCTCAGCACCGCTGGGTCCTTGTGGTCCACGGGGGCCCGGTGCACCGGGGGGGCCCTGTGGGGAGTACGGAGCGGGGTTGGACTGCGAAGGGTGGCTGAGCCGTGCAGCTCCCACGGGAGAGGGAGATGTGGGAAGCTGGAGACGGGGCAGAAGGAGGAGGAGGGGGAGCGGTGGGTGCGAAGAACAGGAAGGCTGTGGGGGTTCCTTACCATGGGGCCAACGTCTCCATTCTCACCCTTCTCGCCCGGTGGGCCCGGCATGCCCTGTGGGGAGGATGGATTAGCCCAGGGGGGGTCTGGAAGCCCCTCGGGCACGGCAGAAGGTGCCCTGGCCCAGGCAGGCAGTGCAGAGCCCAGAGTCATGTGTCCCCTGTCCCTCCTGTCCTGGCAGACCCAAGCCCACCCCATTCCACTCCTTACCTGCAGGCCAGGGGGGCCACTTAGGCCAAGGTGACCCCGCGATCCCTCGTCTCCTTTCTGCCCAAACATCCCCTGCTGCCCGCGGCGCCCCGGCTCCCCGTCCGCTCCCTGCAAAAGGAGAGGTTGGGGTCAGCGCTGCCCACCCCACCGTAAACCCCAATGTGTGGGGTGGAAGGGCAGGGAAGGGAGCCAAGAGGGGAGGTGGGGTTCAAATCGAGGGAATAAATGGGATGGGAAGGGTGCTGGGCAGCTACTCACCGCGGGGCCAGGGTGCCCGATGGGTCCCTGGATTCCTGTCGGTCCCGGGGGGCCCTGTGGGACAGGAGCACCCACATAAGGTTAGGACAGCCCCCAAACACCTCCCGCCTCGCTGCTGCCATCTCACCCTGTTCCCAGAGCGGCTCTGCCCCTCGGAGAAGCCCCCAGCCCAGGCAGAGCACTCACCGCCTCACCCTTGTCGCCTTTGCTGCCCTTCTGGCCAGGAAGCCCCATCTCGCCCTGCCACAAAGAGAAGACGGGTGAGAGCCTGCGGGCGGTGAGAGATGGCGAGGAGGGAATGCTGGCAGCCAGGGAAAGCTGCCATGGCTGGGGAGCCACGGCCAAGGAAATCCCAGCACTGGGGAAACCTGCCACCACCTGGGAAGCAGTGCCAAGGAAGCCTGCCAGGGCCAACAGCCCGCTGCCGCCCGGGGAATCCCCGCTCCCGGGAAGCCAGAGGGGAATCCTGCCCCATCCCGAAGGTCCCCCAGCCCTGGGATGTGCCCTCTGCAAGGGGACTTGTCCCCAACGCCCGTCCCAGGGTACGTTCCCTGTGCTGTCGGTAGCAAAGTGCGAAGGAGGCGTTGCTGGAGGCGCTGACTTGCATCCCCCCAACTTACCTTGTCCCCGTCTTCCCCAGCAGGGCCGGGGGGTCCGCCCGGACCCGGCAGCCCCACGGGACCCTGGATCCCGTCATGCCCGGCTGGACCCGTGGGACCCCGCTCACCCTGCAGGCAGGAAGGGGAAGGGCTGAAAGCAGGGCTGGCTGGGACCCACGGGGAGACACAGCCTGGCCCAGCGCTGCCCCACACCTCCCACCTCCACCCCACGCACCCTCTCGCACCTACCGGGGAGCCCTTCTCGCCAATGGGACCGGGGGGGCCCTGTGCACCCCCCCGGCCTGGCAGTCCAATGCCTCCAGCAGCCCCTACAGGGCCTCGCTCTCCAGGGGAACCCTGGGGAGAAGAGAGAGGTGGGGTGGAGGGAAGAAGGCCCCAGCAGTCTTCCTCCTCTCCAAAGAAACCTTTCTCTTTATCAACTAGAGTTTCAAGCAAGGTGGTAAAATTACTCCCCAAGGGAAATATATATTCCAAGGGAAACCCCCAAAATCCAAATCATTCATCCAATGTCACGATGCTTTGTACTCACGGTGGGTCCGGGGGGACCAGGGGGCCCTTCCCCACCCTTCAAGCCAGGTGGACCCTGTAGGAGGGCAGGGGGGACGGTTAGAAAGGACCCTGCTCCCCTTTCCCAAGGACCGTAACGGGCTGCAGCCAAGCCTGGGCCAGCACTGACCGTCTCTCCGTGTGCCCCCCGTGTGCCAGGAAAGCCGTGGATGCCTGGGGGGCCGCTCTTTCCGGGGATACCAGCGGGGCCAGGGTCACCCTGCAAAGGTGGAGAGGAGGAACAGAGCGCTTTGCTCCATCCCCACCAAGCTGGGGAGAGCCCTCGTGCCCTGCAGAGCTCAGAGGGGGACCCAGCCCCGCTTGGCTCAGGCTTGTGGTGGTCCAGGTGAGCAGCCAGACCCTCAGGGTGGCTCCTACCTTGGCTCCTTCTCGGCCAGCAGCTCCAGGCAGGCCCTGTTCCCCAGGGGGGCCGGGGGGGCCTGGGTGCCCCCTCTCTCCCACAGGTCCCGTCTCGCCTAATTTACCCTGCGGGGAGAGAGCAGGGTGAGCATCTGGGGGTCCCTCCATCCCACCCGGGCTCGCTTCAACACCAACACCTCCTGCCTCTATCCCCAGCACTCACCTGGGGTCCCACCACCCCTGTGGGGCCAGGGGGGCCGGTTTTGCCATGAAACCCCTGCAGAGGAGAGAGGGGTTAATGCTGGGGTATTGCCAGGCGTCCATCCTGGCCCAGGCAAGGGAGGCAGAGCACCCACCGGCTCGCCGCGCTGTCCCGGGTGTCCTGGCAAGCCGTCCTTCCCGGCGGGACCCTGGGCAGGAGCAGAGGTAACAGGGTGGGGGATAGGGGCTGCGTAGCCGGGCACCCCCCTCCGCTGCCTGCACCCCAAGAGGGCGCAGAGGGGGGAGGAGGACGTGCCAGCCCGACTCTGCCCCCCACCGGGTGCCATCTCAAGCACAGGCAGGACCAGGGCAGGGCCAGGCGCAGACATCACCACTTACGGGGGGACCTTTCGTGCCCGGGAAGCCGTTGGGTCCCTGTGGACCCTGAGGACCCTGTGGGAGGGAGAGAAAAACCACGGTCAGCGGCAGAGGGGCTTTCTCCACAGCCCTGCAGCACCCAGACCCTCTCCCCACACTCGGTCCCTTCCTGGGGTGCCTTTGCAGGGGGACACCCCTCCGTTGTCCATCAACCACCCCTCACTTACCTTCTCTCCCACTGCGCCGGGGGCCCCGTCATGGCCAGGATCTCCCTGGGGAGACAGAAACAAGCTGAGGGCAGCAGCAAAGACCCCCACCCTCCCCACTGCCCCACGTCAGACCCACTGCCAGCACCCACGGCCAAGGAGCCCTGAGCACAGCAGGGTGACGGGGACGTGGGGGACAGTGGGGACCCCATGGGCAGGCTCCCACCTACCTTTGGGCCGGGTTTTCCCGTGGGACCGGGCAGACCTCGCTCCCCTGGGAGGCCCTGTGCAGGCAGGAGGCAAAGAGCAGGGTGAGAAAGTGTGGGGCAGGGAGTGGGGTGAGGAGAGGGGAGATGGGGCTGGAAGTGGGTGGTACGGGGCAGGGAGAAGGGCTGGGAGTGGGGTGGGGAGCTGGGGGACCGGGATGGGAGTGGGGAAGGGAGCTGGGAGGGACATGGCTGGTCCCAGGGTGCTTCCCACGGGATACAGGCGGAAGTTTGGGATCTGGTCAGCTGTGGGTTACAAGTGGTCCCCAGGGTCTGGTTGCCGTGGGAAACAACCAGCTCCAGCCTAATTGCCATGGGATACCGGCAAAGTGTGTTGCCATGGGATTTGGCAGACCCCAAGCTCTGTTGCCATGGGTTACAGCCGGCCCTGAGATGGTTGCTGTGGGATACAACCCACGTAGGAATGGTTGTGGTAGCTGGGAGGCAACTGGACCCTGGGATGGTCCCGGTGGGATACAGCCAGCCCGGCGGTAGTCACCAGCCACGGCACACGGGGTGATTCCTGTCACCCCCGGGTCAGGGCTGGGGCTGTGGTTACTCACCGGGGGCCCTCGCTGTCCCGTCTGCCCAGCCTGGCCGGCCTTGCCCTGTGGGGAAAGAGGAGGTGGTGGGGAGAGCAATGCATGGGGCAGCCCCCCACTTGCCCATGTGCCCCCCACGTGCCCCCCGAGGGGATGGAGCACGCCCCAGCCCCTTTGTGAGAGGGCATGTAGCGTGGGAATGGCGAGGGCCACGGGGCTGGGTCCCTTCCCCGGCTTTGAGCTCAGCCCAGCCCCTCTCTGGCTCACAGAGGGGGTGGCAGAGCAGGATGTGGGGGACAGGGAACGGCCCGGAGGGGTGGGACAGAGTGACGCAGCGGGACAGGGTGGACTCACCCTTTTGCCTTTCTCTCCCGCCAGCCCCATGGGACCCTGGAAGCCAGTAGAGCCCTAAGGAAAGAGAGGACAAGTGATAACCCAGGGCCAACAAGGTCCCTGGGGGTCCTGGGGACACCCCAAAGGCTCCCCTGTGCTCACCTTGGGGCCCTGGCGCCCGGGATAGCCCGGGAGTCCTGGCACTCCCAGCTTTCCCTGCAAGGGAGAGGGCAAGAATTGAGCCGCGGGCTATGAGGGACATGGGGACAGGGACACAGGGACACAGGGCTCCCCCCTCACCTTCTCGCCTGCAGGGCCAGGAGCGCCCGGCTCCCCCACGGGACCCGTCTGCCCCTTCAGCCCCTCGGGGCCGTCCTCGCCACGGGGACCCAGCAGGCCCTGGTCACCCTGGAACAGTAACGCCGAGGTGCGGGGAGCACGCTGCCAGGGGGACAGGGCTGCTCCCTTGGGTCCCCAGCTGTCCCCACCGACAGAGCTGTCCCCCTCCTTGGCTCCATGCCCCCCCACACCACCCCAAATCCTACAGCCAACCCACACAGTGCTGACGAGGAGACCCCCACCAATCCCCCAGCGGGACCCCACTTACCCTGTCGCCCTTGGGGCCCATGTCCCCCTTAAAGCCGGGGAATCCATCTTCTCCCTGAAGAGAGGCACATTTTGGGGGAGCTGCGACTGTGTTAGCCCTGGTGCAAATCCCAGATGGGGTCACAGTGTGGGGCTGAGCCCCAAATCCCAAGACAGCTGCAGCCCAGGCATGTCCCGTCCCCCCCCCCAGCTATCACAGGGCAGGGATGAGTGCCCCCCAACACCAGGGACCCCCGGCGAGCACAGGACAAGGACCCCTGTCCCCTGCTGTCCCCTCTCCCCGACACCTCTTACCTTCTCCCCTTTGCTGCCCTTCAGACCCCGCACGCCGAAAGCTCCCTGCAGAGACACAGAGGGGTTGGAGGGAGGACCCCAACCTGGGGGACACCGCCTGACCCCCCACACCGTGCCTCGGCAGAGCCCGGCGGAGGGGAAGGCTGTGCTTACCTTCACCCCACGGGGTCCCGGGTAGCCAACAGGCCCAGGAGCACCCACAGGACCCTGGGGACAGAGAGAAAATGGGCAAAAATGGGATTCCCACCTTGGGAAGAGGACTCCTTCCCCCTGCCCAGGGCATGAGGGGGGGATGAGCCCCTTACCTGGAGGCCCTTCTCTCCGGCTGGCCCTTCTCGGCCGGGGTGCCCCTGCCGGGACACACAAGAGGTGAGCCCCAAGCCAGGACAGTGACGCTGCCCCCATGGTCCCTGCTCTGCCAGGGACCGCAGTGACCCCACAGCCCCTCGCCGGTACTCACCGGGGGCCCGTCGGCCCCAGCCACCCCCTGTATTCCTGGCTTCCCTGGAGGGCCCTGGGCGAGAAGAGAACGTGTGGGAACACAGAGGGATTGGGGTCACCCCTGTGGTTCCACACCATGCACTCCGAGCTGGGGCAGCTCCAGACCCCCCCATCCACGCTGGATCCTGACTCACCTTCTCCCCTGGCAGCCCGACAGGACCCTGGGGGCCGGGCAGACCCTGCGAGAGAACAGATTGGGGTGCTGGGAAGGGACTGAGGGAGCACCCAAACCCCCAGCCCTGTGGGGACACCCCCATCACCTCCACATACCTGCGGACCGGGGTTCCCTTGCTGTCCCGGGGGTCCTGGCTCCCCGTGGATTCCCTGGGGGGGCAAAGAAAGTCCGTCAGCACAGCAGTAAACCCCCTCAGACTCCAGAATGTGCCACCCTGACCCCTGCCACATCCCCCTGCACCCTCCCGGCCCCTGCACCCTACGAGGGCACGTGGCAGCTCTCGCCCCAGCCCTGCCTCCCCCCTCCCTGGAGCATCCCGGTCTCTCGCTGGCTAATTTGGGCTGGGGGCTCCCAGGGGGGCTCCCACTGACACCCACCACATTGCCTTTGGGCCCTGGTGCTCCGTCGATGCCGCTGGCACCCTGGGGAGGAAGAAGGAAAGGTCAGGGCAATGCTGACCCGAGGTGGGGGCAGACAGACAGACAGACAGGCAGGAGCAGCGTCTCATACCGGTGGTCCGGGGAGTCCCGGGGAGCCGCGTGAGCCGATCAGGCCTCGCATACCCTAGGGTCAAGGATAGATGGGGGCTCAGATGGCAGCACTGACCCCAGCACCCCCATATTCCGCAGGGTGGGGGAGTCCAGTGCCCAAATCTCTTTTCCAAAAAGCCACAGGGAGAAAGCTGGGGGCCAGGCTTGCCCCGCACCGTTCCTGGGGCTGGGGAAGAAGCCAGGCCAGGCTCCCAGTGCCGGCAGCAGGTACTTACGGGTTCCCCAGGCTGCCCCCGAGGTCCCGGGAGCCCGTCCGAGCCCTAGAGAGGACAGAGCAGAGCTGAGCACGTCCTGTCAACACCAGCAGGGCCTGATCCTTCCCCATCCCTCCCCACGCTCCTCACTTTGGTGCCTTTCTCCCCAGGGGGACCCGCTGGTCCTGGCTTCCCCACGTCACCCTGCAGAAGAGAGAGGATGAGGCAGCGTGGGGGTGGCGGTGACAGGAGGGGACACAGCGTGGTCCCACTTACCCTGTGGCCTTTCTCGCCCGGTAGCCCTGGCAGCCCGTCGAAGCCTCTGTCACCCTGTGGGGGTAGGACAGACGTCAGGCTGAGCCCACGTCATCCCCGGCCACGCAAGGACCTGGGTGTCCTGGCCCCCCACCCTGCTGCCAGCACCGATACCACCCCACGCACGAGACCTTGGGTCCGGTTTCCCCCGGGAGACCCCTGGCACCGTCTGCTCCAGCACGACCCTGCAAGACAAGGCGAGGGAGTGGGAAGGGGCCCGAGGCTCAGAGCCCCCCAGGATGGGAAAGGGGGACCCCTGGCACGTGACAACGGATCAGGACATTTTGGGAGAGGCAAAATCCAAACCCCCAGTGCTTACCCGTCTGCCCAGCTTTCCCGGTGGCCCCGGTGGTCCCTGCATTCCCCGGGGACCCTGAGGGAGAAGAGGGGAAGGCGTCAGGGCTGGGCTTGCCTGCAGCCTCCCAGACCTCTGCAGGGGCACAATCCTGCACACCCTCTCCTCCCACAGCCCAGCCGAGGAAGACTCACCCGTGGCCCCACGTCTCCCGCGTCTCCTTTCAGACCCGGGTGTCCAGGTAGACCCTACAAAAACAGGAGAGCGTGGAGACTCCACCAGGAGGGTTTGCTCGAGGCAGAGATGTGCCCAACAAGGTGCATCTTAGTGGGGTGGGCAACCCGCAGCGGCCCCCACACTAGCCGGACTCACCAGCGGTCCTGGGCGGCCAGTCAGCCCCATGGGGCCTGGGGGACCCTTCATGGCAAGCTGGGGAGAGACAGGAGAGGGGTGAGGGGGAGCGGGGAGGCCGGGCAGGGGGGCGGGTCGCAGGGGTCCTTACTTTTGCCTGCTGCAGGATGGCTTGGGCTTGGGCTTCTTGGAAAGAGACGGTGGGACCCTTGAGGGAGTCTCCGCCAAA